CGCTCCTTTTCGCGCAACTTTCTCGTAAGCCACGGCACCTGAACCAAGCGAAATGTCATCAGAGCAGAACTACATAATGAGACCCGAGTACTCGGTAAAGCCACGCTTTTTATTTTTACTAAATATCGGCGATGACACTTTTGTTGTTGATTATCAATTAAAAATCGTAATTGAAGTAAAAAAAGGCCTACTATTTGCTGACTAAATCCGCTTGGAAGCAAGTCAGTCAAGCTTGCCGACAGTACTGCCGTGAATTACAGGTCGTCGTTTTTGCTCTATAACTCGTTACAATCGATCGGAGTTTCGTTTAGTTCAGTTTTGTCGACTTGCAGTACGATTGTTATAAAATTATTACCAGCACAAAACAGTTTTCATTTCCAAGAGCTAAGAATGTACGTGTAACTGCTTTGTCTACGAATCACCGATGCGTCTATCAGGAGGAATTCTTCTCCCTCTGGGTCTCAACACTTCCCAGGGGGGAATCTCGTCTCGTCTCTATATCTCGTCCCCTTGAGGTATGGGATCGGGAAAATCACTTATACCTTACAGTCAACTAAGACAAACACAACGAAATACGTTTCAGCTCTCGTCTTAGTCGGTCAATCGAGCACTCTATAAGACACAGCGCCCTGGGGAAAAATCCCCAAGACTATCGCAAGGCTGACCCAAGACTCTCTTAGACTGCGTCAACACTCGCCCCAAGGCTCTCCAGGACTGCACTCTCGACTGCGTCTGTCGTGGAGTACTTGCCAAGACCGACTCAAACTCTCTTTATTCATTTTCAAAACTCTAACCAATTACAAAGCAGTAAAAAGACTCTAGGGCGTAACCTTCAATCATAAAGCCAATCACACTAAGCACTGAATACGTCATATCTTTTGATTAATCGTTCACTACATTAATAACTATGGATACCAACTGTCAGAATAGCGACGGATTTCTGGTAATTAGTTCCAAATCACTGAGCCAAGTTCCGTCCAAAACTTCAAATAGGCCTAAACGATGACAGACATAACACAGCAATTCAGCTAATAATCAGCTAATTAAGTCGATCAACAGATACGCGAAAACAAATTCATCACACGTCACTGAAATTTGAAAGTCAGTCTGCCGTCCCACATGACACAATGAACCTGATTAGTCTGTATGTGGTTGTCGTGAAATGTGCATTTATTGTGTCAACAAACAACGAATTGTGCACTCCTATATTTTGCATTTAGGTTTCTGTACTGACCAGTAGAATTTAGACCTTTCACAACCCTCGAATAAACGAGAAAAACTACAACACCACCCTACAGCCCATCATCCACCCTCACCACCAACTCACCCTCAGTTGAACAATTCCCCAATATACAGTACTATTACCTGTGTTTGAAATTTGGCAAAATAATTTGCAGTGACTTTCATTCAATTCAGAAAAATCAGCTTACTATTACTTTGCAATACACTGTCTGCTCGTTGACAGTATCATTGGTAATTATCTACTTGAATTCATTTTTCCACGATGGGAAAATTTTTGGTTTTATCATACACCTTGTTCGATTCTTTGGAGTCACGTTTATTTTTTGCTTTTTTGGTGGAGGCTTGATTCCTGAAAATCGACTCACGCATATTGTGACCATTCGAACCACGCTTAGTGTAAGAATTCACTGAAATCACGCATAGTTTGAGAGTTCGCTAAATCACGCATCGTTCATGGTTGTTGTTGTTGTTGTTGTTGTTGTTTATACTTGTTTTATAAGTTGCATGTGTCAAAAGTGGGTCACATCAGACCTCTGACAACAATCATACATCCATAAACATTTTGTGATTTTCGTAAAAATATTTTGTAATATATTTATTTTTTTACTCCAAAAATATGCCCGACCACAGGGATAGTAACGTTTCGCCAACCCGACCGAATAGTTACCCGTGCCAGACGTACGGGTGGTAAGGCAAAACAATTGTTTTGTTGCCCTCAGCAACCGACCGAAAAATATGAAATATCGGGTCGCGGTTTTTTTTAATAGGCCCAAATATTAAAAACTCACCGTAAAAAAGTGTTTCATCTAAAATTAACGATCCCGGGCCGTTGTTCAGATAAGTGACGACTTTGAACCTCGGGTTGATCTGTATTAAATACAAAAGAAACACTTTTAATTTGTGTGTTTAATATCTCGCATGCGTTTGATTGATTTCCATATACCTCGGATATTTACGATACCCTCAGTTTTCACGAGTTTAAAAATAAATTCGCCCGACCAAATTTTTCAATTTTCCGACTTGAAGGCAACAATAACTATGCAAATTATAAAATTATGATATTTTACATCATGTAGTGATATAGAGCTAAATATTGTTTGTTTGTTTGTTTGTTTATGAATTTAATTTTGTTCGTGTCATACTCCCGGTACAAATTGTTCATAAAATTCTGTGGGCAAATTTGTGTTTCCAATCTATCCTAGGGATTCCGATGACCCTTGTGACCTTGATAGAGTATTTCCATAAACAAAATGGCGGCGTGCATATAACGAACACAGATGTTGCAGTAAGTCACGCTGTAAGATGGTCTCCAGTCAATTGACGCAACCGCTGGACGGTGGTTGGGGATGGTGTGTTGTATTTGGAACCTTTCTCTGTTTGACAGTCACTATGGGAGTCACGTTCTCGTACGGCGTTCTCTTCGTTGCATTTGTCAATGCATTTGGGCAATCTAAATCGGATACTGGTGAGTTCAAATAATACTTCGATAGTGGCGGTAGTGTAGCTATGTAAGTCTCTGTAATGTAGAGTGTAGCCAGTCACCGTGGCTGATAAATAGGTGGATTCATGTTATAACATAGCATTGGTTATGTAATTATACGGGGGGGGGGGAGAAAGAGAAATCCTCGTCACCAAGGATACCTTGTCCATTGTCAAAACCAATCAAGGGCAAGGTCAAAGGGTCAAACAATGCTTAGTCAAGGGCGGTAGGCAAAAGTGCCTGGGTTAATACAATGCTAGAAACAATACACGAATATTTTCATTCTTGGATAAAATAAGTTATTAGTAACATTTTTAGACATGGACAAAAAAGCAGTACTACGAGCATTGCCGTGGTGACATGTTTTGATCGAACTTGTTCATGGTTTTGTATCTTGCTCAGACTCCGAGTTTTAGAATACGCTTTCACCACCCCGCTCTTCATAATAAATAGGTAGTTTAGCGGAATTTCTCATTTGTAGCGGAAAACAGTCGCGCACGCATTCGTGAAATGGAAGCGTGTGCAAATCATCGATGGCGGCGCTGTTAAATATGTTTTACAACTCTCATGTACTCATGTGCTATTGTGACTTACGACTTTCTCAATTTATCTAATACGTGTCAAATTGGTAAGGAAATTAAATATAGATATAATGGCATAGTGTCTAGTTTGTGTGTATATTTGATACGAATATTATTTTTTAAATCTTTCAAATCAGAATGTATCACTGATCCAACACTTTTGTCTAACGCCCTTGGCTTAGTTTTTCACTTACACGCGTTATTAGCGTGTAACTGAGGGACCGACCATTTGATTAATGAAGGGTGATTTTTAAAACTGTTGCCGTTTTTGATAGACCGTGTTTATCAATGTCCTGCTTCAAGGACATGTACTAATACATAACTGTTATAAATCAAAATGGCGTCATGCCATATTTGAAACTTTTACAACGTCTGGCAGGGGTCAATGATAATTCCTGTATCCGCCCGGGGAATTTTGACCTTTGTTGCGTTGCATAGAAAAATTCAATACAATTAAACAAGTATACTTATTATATTATATCAGTACCATGAGTACGTTGGTATGATTGGCCAACAACCCTCCGCGACGCGTTGTGTGACGACCACCTCCTGTAAACTTTCCGAGTCGACATACCATTGTTGTGTCACTCCTATTTCAGGCTAATATTAATACTAGACATGTAACATTCGAGAATCGAGTTAAACATACTAATATATAATCACTAATTGAGAAAGCGATTTAATAGTGTTCAAATAGCACTAGGGTAACATGAATTATAGTTGAGACTAATGGATATGGCCTCAGTTAAATATACAATACGAACTACTAAATACGTGTGTACCAAGACAATCGGCGAATACTCGCAGGAACAAAATATTATAGTGACAAATGTATTCAACATCAAAGTGCATCAACAAACTCAAAATTACATGTTCTTATCCATATTGCATTTTTATTCGACTTCTCTGATAAATGGCTGCAATATTGTCACAATGTTTTATTTTGAAAGTGTTCGAACTTTTGGGTTTTATTCACATATTAAAGCATTATTTTATAGAAATTGAATAGCATTTAGAATTACTTGATGAGTGACAGCTGGAAAGAAAACTGAAATATAATAATATCAATAATTCACCACACCTTACCTATTATAACTACACATGATTTTTTCAATCTATGCAACGACGACATTTTGAGGTACGATGAAACCTTTTTGCTACAATGTTTAATTTCTGATATTCACTATTTTGACCCATATTTCGTGCGAAAGGTAGTTCGCCAATCATATGTTTTATCAAAACAATATAATATTAATTATAGATGTCGAAGATATTTCGTTATCGCTTGTGGGTATATTCCGTGAAACTGGTAAAAATCTGGCGATAAACTCCGTTCTGTGAGATGGTTATATATCATACTGTTAGTACAGACATTTCGAATATAGCACACTCTACCGTTTATATTGACTGTTGTACTGCTCTAACAGAAGCGATTTTAATTTGCAACTGAGTGTTTCACTGCCTCTTAGTAGTGTATAATTTCCTTTAGGATACCAAATAAACTACAGCATAATCACGGACCTATTGATCCCTGCTAACATGTTGCAGCAGCTTTTGATTGAAAAATTGCCTAATGATATTAGAACATTTATGATTGTAAAAGCACAAGCTGGTCCGTATGTTATAAACCCACCTATGGACAATGTTTTCAACAGTTGAGAAAGGGCATTAGCTTCTCGTCAACTCAAGACGTTGCGCTTTGTCGTGAGCTGTACATTTGAGCTCTGATTTACAATAGTGTGATTACAAGTTATGTAGCTGATACAATGCCGATTGACATGATATTTACGGTTAAGGAAAATGAACGTACGACCAGAGCAATTGGTCATTAAATGAACGTTATTATAAGTTTATGTTTGCTTTCATCTAGCTAATTTTATGGCAATCAAAGTCAAATTCGATATATTAAAAGCCATAACCTGTATGAGATGCACAATCAATATGATGATATTTTATTTTCTTCGCAGCATGGACGGGATCTATTTTTACTCTCGTCTTTGTGATTAGTATGTCATTTGGCAATGCTCTTCGCGAGAAGATAGGGCATAGATTGACTGTTATCGTGGGTGGTGTCGTCGCTTCTATTGGTTTGCTGACTAGCTCGTTCGCCACACATCTACATCAGCTGTATTTTACCTATGGGGTTTTAGTAGGTGAGATTTTGCAATATTATTTATCGAAGTTGTTTCTTTACTAGTGCAGCCCCTCAAAATATTCCTTCTAACTGTGCTTCAAGCGTGCTAGCTTTCTGGTAACACATTATATTGTGTCTGAACGTTTCTTGTTGCAGACAAAATTTCTGGGTTAAGAGTAACTATTTATGATTGTTATAAAATAAGTGCTAATAGATATTTTATGTATCGAACATTTTATTGTTCTATTTAGTTATAAATATTTTGTTAGAAATATAAATCATGATTTATTATAACATGAAAACTCTGTTCGTGTAGAACACGCCTGAGTGTTTGTTCGATAAAACAATACAATTCGCTATTACACATGTGCGCTGGTTGTTTGGATATGTGCAATACAAATCACTACACTTGTATTAGCGGTTTTTATTTTTCATCTTTAATTAAAATACTGACACACAAACACAAACAGTTTTAGTTCACAATAAATCGTAAACCGAATTGGTCTAGCGTATTGAGTATCGAACAAGAATAATGGGAAAAAAATGATTTGTTGTATAATAATTGCTAATTCCCATCAATAAGCGTACAGTTATAATTTGCCATGTATATCTTTCGTATTTTCCCAGCTGTTGGTTGTGGAATGGCAACAACTTGTGCACTTGACATAATCCCGAAATATTTCAAAAAACGATATCCACTCGCTATGGGTTTGGCTCTTTCCGGTTCCGGTGTTGGCCAGGTAGTATTTTCTCTCTCGTATCAAGTGATGATTAACTTCTACGGGTGGAGAGGCATGCTCCTGATACTATCGGCCTTCGTTCTGCATATATGTGTGAGTGGTTGTCTGTTCCGTCCCTTAAAACCTGTAAGAGTAGAAGTACACCAAACCAAAGATGAAGTAGCATGTGTCACAAACGCAGACAACACGTATATGCAAGTTGCAGACACAGTCACTGAGGAAGATAGTAGCCACATAACTGAAATGACAAGACATCCTCGGATAGTTCAGTGTAATCAAAAGTGTTGTGTTTACGTGAAATCATTTCTAGCATGCATCGTCGATGTGTCATTGCTTAGAAAACCTGTTTTCCTCTTACACATGCTAATATCTATTTGCTATGGCTGGAACTATGGTACTGTGAGTCTACATATGGTGAGTATATAGTAGACGGGTAATTTATCGACGGTTCCAAAGCATCGTTTCGATAACGTACTCTTGTTTGGAGTGATATAATAACAATATTTGAATATTAAGTATTTTTTCAATAAAACCTTTTTTCAGTTGAAACACACCACGGATATTGGTATTGACGCCAATATGGGCTCTTATTTACTGGCGTTGATGGGTGGGGTTCAGCTCTTGGTTCGTCCAATTTCTGGTGCAATCGGAAACCTACTTAATAGCAGAAGTTATATCGCGTTTTCCATGTCAAGCATGTGTTGTGCTGTGGCAACAATTGGGATAATATATCTTACGTCATTTGCAGGTAAGACCTTATTGTAAACTCCACCATTTATAAGTTGGAAGATATCCACACTTGAACAGAAAGTGAAGCAAGTGCATATGTGGCACCATGCATGTATCACTATGATTTGACTCCCGTGCGCGAAACACACAGTCGGAGTCTTTGCAGTTACCCTGTCTGTATGTATGTTAATTTTAAACTGTTCCATGACTGTGCCACTGATATCTAAAAAGCCATTCATTGGATTTTGATGAAACTTTCTACATAGATGCCCTGGGCTAATGCGCAAATTTAATTAGTTTTGGGTGAAAATCCTTTCATATAATTAACCTAATTTGCATAATGATTAATAAATTTTTGGCTTCTCCGCTGATATCTCAGGTACTTATAATCACTTTCCAATGAAACTTGCATAGATACATAGGACAATGCATATGTGAAATATTAATTACATACTTTGCATAATTAATCAATCAAAGTACTATCACTTCATTATTTTCAATGAAACTTGGTACATAGATCCTCTATGTACCATTGCAGTGACCTGATTAATTTTGGGTAAAAATGTGTGCATATTAATCAACTAATTTGCATAATTACCTAATTTGCATAATAATTTACTTTTCAGCTTTCCACTACTTTAGTTAGGATTGTTCATCTCATTATAATGAAACTTTGAACATGCGTGCCATGAAACAATATACAGACCTAAATCTATGCATACTAATTGCTTAATTTGTCTAATGATTCACTTGGTTCATTGAGGTAATCCACAGACATGATTAGTTTAATGTTGATAAACATGTATATTGTTTATCTATTGTTAGCCTATTCCTGATATCATAAAAAAAATCAGATTTAAATTGAATTCATCACAGAGGAACTCTAATTAATTTATTAGACTAAAAACCATGGATGAAAAATCAAATGTATTTTCTGTGTGTATTATAAATTTTGATAATGTAAATCACACTGTTTTCATGTTGTGCATCTCAAATAGCAGACAAATATTAGTTGCTAAGCTTCTCGTTTGAAATACAAATCTTAAATTTTGAATTAATTTTAATGTGTCTCCAATACTCTCAGCACACGGGAGTTCTTTCTAAGCTTTCTTTGATTTCTGTTTCCTGTAGGGCAAATATTTTGTTACTGTATGTATGGAATGGGAATTGCGGGATTCATTACCCTGAATTTGATTGTATTGATACAATTTAATGGAAGAAATCGTTTTGGGCACGCAGTGTCAATGTTATTTCAAGTGTCTGGAATCACGACATTGTTGGTGTCGCCATTCGCGGGTAAGCCTATTTCCTTTCATAATTGTTACATGTTAGGTAAAAGTAATTCTATATATTAATTATACCACCAGGTGGATACAAGTGTTTCATGTTGGAATACCCCGTACAATTTTACTTGGGTAACAGACAACAATGTTTTGTATATAATATTTTTTTTTTCTCGATATTTTTTCAGGACGACTGCGTGATAAATATGGTGTTTACACACAAGCATTCTGGATAGCGGCCGCAGTTTCTATGCTTGGTAGTATACTATCTTTATTACTACCAGTTGTGGACAAATTGTGGAATAAACGAAACGCGCGACATATCACAAGGACATCAGCAGAGAATGTATATTCAGAATGACGTCATCATGTTCCCACGTGATCTTATAAGATCATGAATTACCATCATTCATATTTGAATAAACAATTTATATTTGTCTTCCAAATATAATATCTTCAATGCTAACGCACAAGATACAGTTATAAGCCACTAAGATATTTACACGGACAATTCACCATCCGTTTTATAGGCTCGATCTTTCGTTTGCAGTAAATATAAAAACTTTATTGTGGAAACCATCAACACATCTGCAAAAATTAAAATAATTCAATAATGGAACATTTCTTCACACACAGTAATGGATTGCTCATGGTTTTAAGTACATTGTGTGGAATTTCATAAACTACGTCAACCAAAAAATATCTTCCATGATTAGGACTTATTATACAGCCTGCATGATTAGTCCCCGTCCAGGCGTAATCTGAAATGCGACTATTAATTATTATTTCTGTTTTTCTTCCGTCCACGCCCCTTTATGTCTCCAACATTCTCTCAGAAATTCTGAAGCAGATATCAATGAAACTTGGCAGGTTGATGAACAAGTCTCTGTTTGAATATGCACGTAATTTTTTTTCCAGATCTGAAAATCCTATGTGGGTATTTTTCAAGATTTCCAGCCAAAATTACCTCTCCCTACTGCATCGACAGAGCAACTGATCTTGCTCAGAATAAATTGATTCGGTTAGGTTGAGATTCAGATTCATGAATAATTGATTTCAGATTCACAAGTTTTACCAAATGTATTCGATCCTAGATAAATGAAATAGAAACTCAGTTTGCACTACACATCGAAAATACAGAGCTGTAACTAAGAAACTAAAAATGTTTAGGACAACTGAGACTGAGAATTTGTGTTACAGAAAATATTCACAAAGAGTATGAAGATACAGCATGCCTTATAATCATGAATTTTAAAATTACTATTACATGTCATGTACTGTTTAAAATAATAAAATTAAAAAAAACTTTTTATTTCGAAAAAAAAATTGTAAAAAAAATATTGTAATATTCTCTATGAGATTATTGCTTATATATATGAAAAAATGTGAAATTTTGTAGTGTTGTTACTGCACCTGATATTAACAAATTAGTTATCACAATTATAGTTATTGTATTTTACAAAATGATTGAATAAGTTGTGCATTGAACGTAATTAAATGTAGTTTTCGATTCCCAAAGATAAATCATGATAATTGGATACTGTATGTATTGAGCCTCGTTTTCAAATGTTGCCTGAATAGTCAATTGAATCCAAGCTAAATACGAATCTGGAAGTCGCGCTGTATTACCATGATAAGTTTAATTTGCGTTCAGCAGAGTGTTGTTTCATTGCATCTACTAGGTATTTTTCCAGCAGAATTGGATTGCAGGAGCTTCAAATCCGTCGTAAGTGTACAAAGGTAGGTTCTTTATTTTGATTAAAATTGAATGTGTTGGGCATGTACATTGATGGATGTGCTTGGTGATGTGAATTGTAATGTTGATCGCCATTTTTATATTCGCGTGAATAACAAGAAAATAAAAATATAAACACTAGTTTGTAAAGAGACTCGCATTAATTGTAGAGGTCGAAGTTTTCAAGTAAATCGCCTTCCGGATTGTCTTACCTTGTTGTCTGTTTAACGATTTCCGAGATATCCACATATTTATTCATAAGAAAATAACATGTTGCTTTTGCTTATTCTCATTCCCATAAAATTTCATTGTTGAGAAGGACCTTTTGAACCGGACTGGCCAAGGTATAGTGACTTTTATGTACCCGGTATTAACTATGGGTCCATAGTTCTGCTTGTGTCGATCTGATGGTATATTAAACGTACATAGTATTTGTATAGCATTTGTCGACACAGTGACAAATGGTGACAGCCATAGTGTACCGTCCATGTTGACGCCGCAATGAAATCATTGTGCAAATAAACGATTGAAAATCATGCAATTTCCTGTGAAACACGACTCCCATCCAAGGTCGATAGATTGTAAATTTATTGAATACTCACCACAGTAACTATTGAGACTTAATTATTCGAAATAAAGCACATTCACCCGAGTACTCTTGGCCGGTCACGCTAAAATGCAGATATTCGCCATCTTACTCACACTGAGTAGTGAAAATTAAATGGTTTACAATATTTTATACCCATTAATAATGATTTAAATGTAGTAATATCACTGTATTAAGAAGACTGCAAACAATTATTGTTACTTCTCCATTGAAGGTTATGAGCAGACCAACCTTTATCACTACTGGCTTTCTTAATTAATACATGTACTTGCTCTGAAAACATAGCTTTTACAATTGTTTATTAAAAGATGTTGTTCCATGTACAATGAATACATTTTAAATAATAAACCTTACTGTGTTAATAACAAATTGTATTTGGCAACATGAGAATGATTCTGATGCCCAGTGGTGATGTTGAAACAAACCCAGGTCTTGGTACTAGGACCTGAATTAACAAAGAAGTCATGTACATCAAGGTTCACTCAGATTTATGAATGCAGTTTCCTGTGCAAGTATGTATGTAGGACAAATAGTTTTGTTGCACTTGTGTACTCTGAGATTCTGAACATGGGTCATTTTTAGTTGTCAGTACAAAACTAGATTATGGGAAATCACTTTATTATGAGTTGTACCCACATAAGAGTACATATTCATCCACCTGTTTATAGATGTTCCTTGTACTACTTTATAACTTATTGTGACATGCATGTCTTGTTAAATGCGGTTATGTGATCTTCGGTCGTTTCATGCCTATAGGACCTATAACACTCATGCGATAATGACATTAATTTACATATGACATTTGCTCAGTACAATTACATACTTTGTCTATATTCACCTTGTTCTATTCACGTATACGTTATTCACATTTTATACATCAATATTATTTACCTTATTTTTTGTCGACGCGTCACACACCAGGCTTCCCCTAGATAAACCAATGATGCAATGAAATTTGCCTGTGTCTGCCTCTATCTAATCGTAGGATATAATTAACACCTATCTCTCACAGAGACTTTAAAATGAACTACTAAAGACTACTCTTCTAACAAAGCAATGTTTTACAATATGGTGGTAAATGTATTCTATACACTGTCTAACTACTGGAGCTGAATATTGCAAAAAAAACTGTAGACACACGTATCCTCCATGATTAAGACCACTATCTGCTAAATTTGGATTATCACACAAAGATGCTATGTTATATATTTTCAACAGACGCGACATAATAATAATAACAACAAATGCATACAACTAAATCAAATGAAAAATATGGTCAGTGAAAGATAGTGTTCATGCTGCTCTGATGAGGACCATGAAAATAGTTCTGAAGAACTAATCGCGTCCATGGCCTTTACAAAGTTACTACTAATATTTAAATTACATAACTGTAATAAATTCATTGCGCTAGAATTTTAAATAAATTATATAAATGTAATAAATAGAAAAGTGATATCATGAGCGAAGCGTATATAAAAAATGAAAAGGCAAGAGTGGAGTGTACAAAGTTTATTTAGTTCAAGGATGCCAAGTTATCGGAATAGTGGTGCAGAGTCGGCATGGAAATCGGAGAATGTCGAACAATCGTTTTTTGTAACCGAGAAAGTGGGATAAGTATTTCCCCAAATTTGGATACAATATGTGTGGATAGAAAATATTAATTTATTGTATAGTAGAACTAGAACAGATCTCGGATTGTAGTGGTAGTATAGAAATAAGATCTACCAGGGCAAGTTGTGAGCTATTTGAGATGGGCCTTTAATTATTAACATCAAAAAGGTAAACAATAAGACACCGATGACACTATTTTACTGCTAGTAATAGGCAATGAACAATTTTGGCAGATTATTCCAAATGCGTTCATTATTTTACTTCTCACATAGAGTGACTGGTTACGAATGAAATATTTGTAGTATTTCTCAAAAAGAATGAATATGGACAAAATATAAATTTATATCTCTGTGATATGTATGACATCATGAGTATTTTAAACTTACAGAACACTGATGCAAAGAGGATCCCATACGACTGGGTTTAAAATCGACTCCCGTCTGTCGCGCGCAAGTTAGTGATGTGGCTACCATGGAAAAACAACCGGAATCTCGAAACTCGTCCATATTGTAATCAGCTTAAAGCGTTTTTGGTGATCATCGGCGTAGGACGCGTAGAAATGCCCACAGCGTAAAACGCGTCGCTGCTATTCCGGTTGTGACGTTTCAGTAGCGGATTTGCCGTACATTTTTGCTTCATATAAAGAATACCCGAAACATCAAAACGGGAATACAGTGGAGGATCTAGGGGCGGGTTCTTGAGGTCCGGACGCCCCCGTTGAAAAATTTATTCAATTTGTTTTTGTATAATATACAAAATCATTAACTTAGTCTGGCGACTTTAAAGTTTGGACCCCCCCCCCCATAAAAAAATCCTGTATCCGCCCCCTGGTGTATCTTACTAACTTAAGATGGTCATTCGGGCAATATCACAATTTGTTGTCTGCCTTCAGGCTGTTGGTCATAACCACCATCCTTTGGGCAGACAACAAATCGTGATTACGTTCACAAACATGTGTTATTATTATATAATTATCACATCCCACTGTTGTTATTCATGCTGTGATTCCTTGAGACTCAGTCAACTGACATTGAATGAAAATTAGCATATTTTTTGTTGTTAAACATAAGATATATAAAATATAACTTTATTTAGGTGGTTCGCATAATTAGTTTCAAGTTGTGACAAAATAACTACAAATACAATATATTTTTAGGATCGCAAGACGATACACTTAATTGAAAACACTATCATTTCAGTTGAGGTGGACTGAATGTGTCGATGTTGAAACACCAGTATGCCAAAGTTTAAAATAGTCGACAGGTTTTGTCACACTCTCACTACTAAAACCAATTCCCCAAATAGTACCCAGACGAACTCAAATTTATTTGCTTCAAGTAAAGTGCATATTATTACGTAACTGACATATCAGGGTTACCAAACACTCTGTTGTCTTATAGTAAGCTGTTAACACACACAAATACATACATACATATACATATACAATACATATGTACTGTAGATTTCGGTCAGCTCTTGTCAAGTTGCATAACATCCTAGGATATTTTGAGTAAATTATTCCAGAGTAAATATAGAAATCATGCTGACAAAAATTGACCAATAAAATACTGGGAATATAAATGGCGGTAATTCACTTGCATTCATAGTTATTAAATGACAATATGAAGTGTGCATGCAAAACATACACACACACTACCACGAGAAGATTCAACAATTGAATTATGTTATATAGCTATCAATCCAGTCTCTGAAGTATGTGATTCGTGCGTATACACCGGGTGAATGTGGCCTAGCACATCCATTACCCCAGCTTACCACTCCTGCCAAATACCATTTAAAATTGTCCATATTGCAAATCAAGGGTCCACCACTGTCTCCCTGAGAACAAAATAAAACGACGCATTAGGTTTAAAATTGAGTAACTTAAAAAAAAACCGTAATGTACATTGTATGTGTATTAATCGACTGTGGCATAGTGGTCGCAGACTCCATGGGTAAGCGAATTGATGTAAAACGTTGGTCCAGAGGTTAACACATTTTTTTATTAATGTGGGATAGTTGTCACTAAACATGTAATGCGATTTTTGTCAGGATGATAGTATGTGCTCAGGCACAAAAGTATTTAAACTAGATAATTATTGAAACAAAATCACGTAAATGACAGGGTTGGCATTTTAACGTAATTATATGATGTTTGTTCAACACCCGTTTAATGACGTGATTTGAGCATTGGACACTCAATTATTATACACTCATATTTGCACGTATAAGTTAGATGCTAATATTGTTTCTCAATCAACATGAAAACTTACATTATTTCAACTACAAAATACAATCATCTCTGTTGTCAACTCAGCGTTAGACAGACTGTCTTGCACATACATTACACAGACATTACTATTTTGATATTATTGAGTTGCTTGGATTTACATTGGGCAGTGCCCTCTTGAGTTTATTATTGATATCATATACAATCTCGTTGTTATTGATCTTCTTCAGCCATTTTATTAATAAACCAATAGCGGTCTTGTGACGCACGTTTATTGTCTCTATCGCCTGTCTGTGTTTATCTCATGATCGTCTATAAATATCGAAAGGTTTTCTTTTTAAACTCAAAAGATGCATGAATATATTTATATATATGATTGTTTTTCCGATCTATTTTGATTATATTTTTTGTTCTGATCATTTTCTGTTCTGATTTTTTGTGTAAGTTTCATTAGTTTTGTTGTTTTATGGGTTTTCAACCCTTGAGTGTTGACATCTTCAAACAGGCAATAATAAAATCACAACAAATCCAAATAAAATAGTTGTGGACACATAGTACTTTACCAATTAATATACACAGCAACGTTTGCTGTTATGACTGTTAGATGGCGCTATAACCAACACTTTTATGACCTATCGAATAACCACTATAACAAAAAAAGTCATCCAAAGCACACATCTTTATGGCTTAAACCATATAAATATATGAGTATATATACACACTAGATTCTCCACTAAATCATATTTATCGTATCACCTAATTTCGATAAATTTTCCTTGGATTTCCCGGGAACCAAAATGTGGAATGAGCTTTCAATGCATCTAAAAACGACAACAATCCGTTTAATGTTTCAATGATCGATTTATTGATTAGTTGGTTGGTTGGTTCGTTATTTATTTATTTTTTGTTTTGTTTATTGTTTTGAATTATTAATCATATATATATATATACAGATAAACTTTATTAATTTTTTTCCTGATCGCCTAAAGTTGGAAGAACTCTCAGTTCAAAGTTGGATTTAACGATTGATTCTCTATCGCCTAGTAATGTACACTAGCGACGCCACGTGATATTCAAATATAGTCAAAGGTTTAATACAGTCGCATTTTGAATATTCCACATATACGATATTTATTATAACAATGTTACCCCACGCTATTTTACTGAATCTACTCATCAATGTGCCGTTAACTGCAGACAACATGCATACATTACAAAACACAGTGTAATATTTCTATATAATAATATAATGGGTGCATACCTGACAGGTATCAATGCCACCTTCTGTGTACCCTGCACACATCATTCTATCGGTTGTATGCGGTAATTGCATGGCACATTCAGTGAGGTTTACCAATGGTACAGTGGCCATCTGTAAAACATACGGCGCTGTACCTGTAATACAAAATATGACAGTTATGCAATTCCGTATGTAAGATTTCAGTCGATTAAATTGGGAAAGCCATGCACGACATTTGCGCCTTTTCAGGACGTAACGCCATATCGAGAGCCCGGTGACGTTTCTTGGTAAGATGATTCACCAGTTTCTACCTTGCATTCATATTAGGTACATGATTAAAGATTAATGCGTATTTATTTGCGTTTTGATCAAAAATTATCCTCAAGTGTGGTAATTCTATTTGTTCAAATTAGACATACCGACAGAGCAGAATGAAACACATAACACCCAGAATGATTCGATTTTCGGCCTTTTTTGTTATGAGACAATAATGGAAACACAATTTAAATATGCTATCGTGCCTCGGACATACAAGGGATGGTTTCAATCACACTGTTAGTGTGTCGCACATGCTGATTAATGGTGAATGTCATTATGTGTTTTATTTTAATTGAAACACCACACGATTGTGTAGTAATAACTCATGGAGTGTGCCGTCATTTGTACTCACCGTCCTCCTCCGTCCATCCCCATCCAGAAATAAGACATTCTTTGCCGTCGGGGAAATGCATATCTGATGGCGGTAAGCACGCCAGCCGTACATAGTCATTGAGTTGGACCATGGAACTGAGTTCTAATAACGCTATATCGTAATCGTAAGTGGAATCGTCGTAACTGTTGTGCATAATTATACGTGAGACGCCTTTCACAACACGTGTTGCTGTTTGTGTCCAGTCATCATGCATAGTCACACCCATGTGCACCTCCAGGTTGCTGGCATCTCTACAATTGAACCAAGGATATGCAGAGATCAGTTTGCATCAAAGTATAACCGAGGGTATTAAAAATAGGATAACATGTATACGATTTGAATTAACAGAAATTACATGGGTTTATTGTGATTACGTCATTTTCGGGCTTCAGTGGCACTTGATACTAGTCGAGTACGTTATGAAATCAGCCATTTTGTTCATTACGTTCGTAGCTAGTCGTTATATTGTTATAATACTAGCGATTACATTCCAGAGAGAGAAGTAGTCGCTGAGTTCATATTTGAGCATGGATGGAAAACAAAAACAACTAATCTGAAAGTCGTGGTGTTCACCATCTAACTGAATCGAACCTAATGTAAGAATAAATGCCGCCATGAATTGCTTCAATTTGTTTCTCTAATATAGCACATAAAATCAATACTGCAATAATATATTGTATCATAGTGCATAGAAAGAAAGTAGAAACCTAGACAAATCTACGGTAGAGCTGAAAATACAGTCATGAACTTAACAACAGAGTGACTGAAAACCCTTTTCCAAAGTTCATGCCACAATTAGACAATTAGACGATATTAACAATGAATAACAATTACAGAAACAATAGCTTAGTTGTGGCACTCAAGACAGGCAACGTAAAGACTGCAAAATCAATAGTCAACGGCATACTTATATATGTTGAGGGTGATAATAAAGATGTTACCATTGATCACTGTCGAAAAAGCTGAGATGCTACTTGAAGTTGAATAAGAAAACAATCCAATTTAGCTCAAGTCAAGTTCCATTTATTGAAAACCTCATTACTAGTGGTGGATTAAGACCATACCTTGTGTAAAAGTAAATTGTGGTTAGGTCAAGTTACATTGATTAAATACCTAGCTGGAAACCAGGGATTAATTTGATTCGTAAACCAATAGATGTAGCTGGAAACCAGGGATTAGTTTGATTTGTAAACCAATAGATGTAGCTGGAAACCAGGGATTAATTTGATTCCTAAACCAATAGATGTAGCTAGAAGCAAGGATTAATATGATTCGTAATTCAATAGATGTAGTTGGAAACCAGGGATTAATATAATTCGAAACCAGGGATAGCTAAATCTAAAAAGAATTTAAATGACTAATAATATGCCTGGGTGCAGATCTGCTCCACAATGAACAACCAGTAATATAAAGAAACAGGTATACACGTAAGCCTCCAAGACCCGTTGGATTCGTTATTTTAACTCCGCTGTTGACGAAGTCGAGCAGAGCTTATAGTATTACTGATTGTCCGTCATCGCCCGTCGTCGTCGTTGCCGTCATCGTCGCCGTCGTCGTCGTCGCCGCCGCCATCGTCAACTTAACATTTTCGACTTGTTCTTAAAAACCTCAAACTTTATAGCTGTGAAACTTTCTAAGAATATGCCTTGGGTGGTTCTCTCTCATATTTGTTCATTTCGTGTGGATATGTTCAATTATCTTATTTATAGCGGATATTTTTGTCATTTTTGGTCAAAAATGCTATTTTTGACTTCTTCTTGAAAACCGCTAGCCTAAATGCTTTGATACTTGGTATGTAGGTACCTTGGGCGGACCTCTCTTAGATTTGTTCATTTTGTGATGATATCTTCAATTTTCTAATTTTTATGAATATTTTTGTCATTTTTGGTAAAAAGTGATATTTTCGACTTCTTGTTAAAAACCGCAGGTCCTATTGCTTTGATATTACATATCTAGGTACTATATGTGGACCTCTCTCAGATTTGTTCATTTCGTGATGATATCTTTGATTCTCTAATTTTTATGAATATTTTTGTCATTTTTGGTAAAAAGTAATATTTTCGACTTCTTGTTAAAAACCGCAGGTCCTATTGCTTTGATATTACATATCTAGGTACTATATGTGGACCTCTCTCAGATTTGTTCATTTCGTGATGATATTTTAATTCTCTAATTTTCATGAATATTTTTGTCATTTTGTCATATTTTTGTCAAACCGCAAGTCTAATTGCTTTGATATTATATATACTACATATGTACTACAGGTAGACTTCGGAGCGGAGCTATATCAGCCGACAGGCTGCTAGTTTATAATTCTAATCATTTTAATCACTACATAATTCCTAATTTTCGAGTTGCCCGTTTTCCTTGGAATTCCGCTAGAGGGCGCATCGTAAATACCCGGATGACGAGCCTGAGTGGGGTTGTTTGACGTTATCCTGGGGGGGGGGGGCGGACATCCGAGCATTTTCAGCGCTTGGTAACCCTGGCGGTGAAAACAAAGGCCAAAAACTCGCAGAAAACGGTACTTTGGGATGGTTGTTGAGACTCCCCTGAACAGTGTAACAAGATTAGCCCTACGTGTGTAACATATATAAATTTGGTTGTTCAGGATTACTTCAAAGTTGAGTTTGTGTTGTTTTCTCGAATTTTCACTGGCTCGACCGGCGTTTCACAGCAGCGCGAAAAGAGCCCATAGAAATACATTATGATATATAGAAGATAATATTTGGTAATCGTAGTCCTAAATAACAGAAATACATGTACAGTGGTGCGCGTCTTAGCAACGTGGAACGTCTTGTGACGTAGCTCCGCCCCCGAGGATTGACGTTCTGTATTCTTACATGCGTAAATCAATAGATTGGAAAAACAAAACAGTTCCAGAACTCCGCAAATTTCTTCAGGATCGTGGTATAACTTGCAGCAATGTTCGTAAAGCTAAACTTTTTGAACTTGTTGAGTTTGCAAACGAGTTAAATGTTAGCCTTTTGGAGACCGACGATCGCGAAGAGTCAAACAGTCGTCGTCGTACTGTAAAACACGGCGAGTCGAGGATAACTTTGGTAGCTCCGTATAACGTAAAACCTTGGCAAAAAAACCTTCATACTTTGCCTTCATCATGTGCAGAATACAGAATTTATTTTCATTATGGCAGAGTGTATTCGGAAACGATCCATGAAGGAAAATCCTTACAAGCCATGGTTTATTATTAAATCAAACTCTAAAATAGTTTCTGGTGTTTGTAACTGTGTAGTGTATATTTGATTTAATATTTTATTCACCAGGTGATCAGCAGATGCAGCTAATATATAAATGGACACACGTTTTTTCCTTCCGTAGTAATTTTAATTTCAACTTCGCAACAAATGCCATCATAAGGATTATGAACAAGAAGAACAATGTAGGGATAGGCAACAAGCGACAAGCAACAAATTTTCCATCAAATCCGGCTCAATGTTATCGTTTGCGCTCGTCTCGGGAAGCTGACAGTCTTCGTTTTTCAATCTATGTATAACTGCGGTTGAAAGACGGCTGTCTCCAGTTATTGAACTCAAAAAATACTGGTACAGGATGGAAAATGTTTGACGTCCACTCAGGGTCCGGGGAAGCATTCGAATCCACTGGCGTCGAAGTGTTGATTTCTTGGACGAAAGAAATGTATGAACAGTTACGCCATTCATCTCAGATATTTCGCTGTTTTTTTCTTTTTAAAGGAACTCGAGGAACAGCCTTAGCATTACATACCAGTTAATCAGTTTGACCAATTCTTGCAAAACGTTTGTAAAAAAAATAAGACTTCGGCAACAGTAACTACTAGTATATTGCTTGCAGCAGACGCCGCTCAAATTTC